ATTTTCTAAAATTTCTTCGCCAACATGGCACGATCTCTCACTCTTCTTGTCCTGGCACATCACAACAAAATGGGCGGGCTGAACGTAAAAATCGACATATCTTAGACACTGTTCGTTCTCTTCTCATATCCAGTTCCTGTCCTGAGCGTTTTTGGGGGGAAGCAGCTCTCACTGCTGTATACACCATTAACCGTGTTCCAATGCATATTATTGGCAATCAATCTCCCTATGAACGCTTATATAGGATCCTTCCGGCTTATAACCTACTTAAAGTTTTTGGATGCGCCTGTTTTGTCTTACTTCAACCTCATGAACGCACCAAATTAGAGCCTCGGGCTCGTTTATGTTGTTTTTTGGGTTATGGAATTAAACACAAAGGATACAAATGTTGGGATCCCATTTCCAAACGTCTTCGTATCTCTCGTCATGTCATCTTTTGGGAACACAAAATGTTCTCTTCTCTCTCCAAATTCCATCTATCTTTATCTTCTACTCCTTCCTTTTTTACCGATTCTTCAGTTGAACTTTTCCCAGTCGACACAGATATCATATCCTCATCTGAGATCCCAACCACACACAACTACCAGAGCTGATTAAACCTCTATATTTGCATCTTATCCCCGGGAAGACCCTTACCCGATACAAAATGGGAGGTAAAGGAGGCGAGGCGGCAGTGATGGTGGCGGAGGTTCATGTGGAGCAGGATAGTCATGAGAGGATGGATGGTGGTTCGATGGGACACGTGAGTAGAGTTGGGTGGCGCTTCATAATTGACAATCCACTCTCATTTCATTGAATATATTCGTTTAAATGAACTCAAGCACGATTTTGTGGCCGTTGGTGAGTATTCAACCTAGACTTCATAACAAGCCAAAAAATAAATAAAAAAATAAAAAATTGGCACATAATCTTTGAACCAAACAATGGATGCCCACACTATTCCTTGAGCTTATAGGGTCTAATATCTTCCAAAAGCAGACTAAATAGCAAATTGACGGCAATCCAGTGCACAGGGTTCCGTTTGGGAAGGGTTAGATGTATACAGTTTTATCTTCACATGTAAAGAGACTATTTCCTTGTTTCGAATCCATGACACCTTTAAATCACAATAGAACAATCTTACCGTTGCGCCAAGACTCGCCCTCTAATATAATAACGAAATATATGTTGGCGAATTTCTTATTTGGGCAAGAAACAATTGGTTGTCAACAAATAAAATGCATGTTTATCTGATAAAGTGGCCAAATGGTATATAAACCTGAGAGAATGACTTGTATAGCCCACTCTATGTTCATGGAGCATGAGGTGATCATTAAATTTAAGTAACTGCTTAGATAATAGATAAAAATGGTGAAAATTTTATCAATGTTATAATCAAAAATGAAAATTTTAAGAACTTTAGTTGTTTGCAAACAATTTACCTAAGTTCATGCAAAAAAAGGTTGCAAAGGTGAAAGAAAGTTATCACCAGCTTCAGATTCCTCTGGAAGGCATTGAGGTTTGATAAAAAGAGAGGCTAGCACGTGAAATAACAGATGAATCTGTGTCCCTACAAAATTATTAGTGTAAAGTTATCGTATTTGTAATATATTGTGTTAAAGTGACTTTATATGCTCATTCATTTTGATTACGATCACTTTTGTTATATAACTTGGGAGTGTTTTTTACCACAAGAGGTATATGCACTGTATCCATGATATATGATTGCTTTTTGGACTTAATGTAACAAAAATATAATATAATCAAAGAGTTTTATGTACAATTATTTTTAATAAACTTAAATAATTCAATATGCTTATTAGTGCGTATCTAATAAAATGTAACAAAAGTATAATATAATCAAAGAGTTTTATGTACAATTATTTATAATAAACTTAAATAATTCAATATGCTTATTAGTGCGTATCTAATAATTCTTACGTGGACAGATATTCTATACTCATGTCCTGTCTGTAATTAGTCCACCTTCATTCGTATTAATATAAATTATTTCTATTATTTTCTTTTCTTTTTTCTTTACTAACTAGTCCAAGGACAATACTTGGGTTCACAGCACTGATGTGGACTAATAATAAATAGATATATCCTTATTAATTATAAAATTAAAAAAGAGAAAGAATAAATTACAACTCTTCTATAATATGTGAGTTATGTTGGCCTGGATAATCCACTATTTTTCGTGCTTGTTTGATATGAGTTGCTCTGTAGCAGTTTACTCCTTGTTTTTTTTTTGATGAATTACAACTCTTTTCTCATGTATTTATCCTCTTTTATCTTGTTGATTAAAATAAATTATCTCCAGATCTCATATTGAATATATTTTTAAAAGATATCATACAAGCGAGTAGTTGTTTTCAGAGCAGAGAAAAAAAGTTGTTTTTCATGCGTCTATTATACAAGTGGGCAGTTCATTTGTTCCACGGTCTCACTTGCAGGGTCCTAGTGAATTTTCTTTGTTTTTCACACATCTCTTGTACAAGTGGTGCATATGTAAGAAGGCAGTGGACTGTACTTATGCTTTTGCCCTTCCCTTTTTGGGGAAGGGCAATGTCACTCAGCAACTTCTTTTATTTAGTTTGGTAATGCAAATTATACCTATCAAAAGTTTTTGATTCAGCTGTATAACCTCCATATCCTCAAAGAGGAGGGGAGGGGTTCGAGCCCGAGTATGGGCAAAAGATGGAAGCAACAGTTAAGTGGCTAAGAATGAATCAATGAATTATAGGTGTCTTCAGTTTATTCTGTAAACTCAAATTTTTTATGTAGATATATATATACGAAGAACAAATAAAATCTTTTATATAGATTTATATTTACAAAGAGCAAATGAATGTGTGAGTTTTTTGTCAATGAAAAAAAAAAAAAAAAAAAAAAAAAAAAAAAAAAAAAAAACCCACAGCAATAAAATAAAAAAAGAAAAAGAAAGAAGAAGAGACAATTAGACTATGAAGTATGAAGTGGCCAAATGGTATATAAACGATAGTGGCTAAATTTTAACAGCTTTAGCTGTTTGCAAACAATTTACCTAGGTTCATGCCAAAACACATTGGTCCGTTCATGCAAAAAAAAGGTTGCAAAGGTGAAAGAAAGTTGTCACCAGCTCCAGAACAGATTCCTCTGGAAGGCATTGAGGTTTTGTCCTGGCTTGAGATAAAAAGAGAGGCTACCACATGAACAGATGAATCTGTGTCCCTACAAAATTATTACTGTAAAGTTGTCGTATTTGTAATATATTGTGTTAAAAGTGGCTTTATACACTTATTCTTTATTCTGAATATGGTCACTTTTGTAATATAACAAATATAAGTTGTCATCTATTAAATTATCCCCAAAAAAGACATGTTTATATTATGTGTTTCGAATAGTAAATGCGCTTGCACCCAAATCGGCAATGAGTTCGGACACCGGGTAATGTGTTTGGCGTGACAACAGATCAATGATCAAGTTGTAAGTTCGGACACCGGATGAAGTGCCTTCTAATGCAAAAGTTTAAGATGTTAGGGAGCATTGGATACTAGTCCATACATGTCTAACTCCTTTCTCCCACAATTTCGGACACCGAGTAATGTGTTTAACGTAATAACGGATCAATGATCAAGTTGAAAGTTGTAATGAGTTGGATGACATGTCTTCTAATGCAAAAACTTAAGATGTTAGGTGATATTGAATACTTATTCATACATGTCTAACTACTTTTTTCGTTGTGAGATAAATCCTTTTAACATTATGTCATTTCACTTTAATACCGTTCACCATGGCTCTATATCCAATTCTTTTTTAAAAACATAACTCTACTATTATTAGATAAATGTGTGATCAGACCTTATATATCAAAGCTTAAATATATAGTCCTCAAGTCTAGTTTTTCATTTTTAATTTTAATTTTAATTGTTTGTAGCACAAAAACAAGAAGACAGAGAATTAGGAGACAAAACAAGAGTCCACAAACAGAGCCTTGCTAAAAAAATTGTTTGGTTGAAATCCATTTGGAGAAGATTAAGTGACCGATATTGGACTCAGTGTTTGGATCTTGAGATTACACCAATCGACGGTCCTGGACAGTGTGAGTTTATTTTGTCTAAATGGGGTTATTTTACTTCATTTTTTAAAAAATAATACTTATTTTTACTAAATATGAGGTTAGTCTTTTTAAGCGGTGAAGTCCATATATGCACAAATTTATAACTTGGGTAGTGTTTTTTACCGCAAGAGGTATATGCACTGTATCCATGATATAAGATTGCTTTTTGGACTTAATCTAACAAAAGAATAATAATAATAATGTAACAAAAATATAATATAATCATAGAGTTGTATGCACAATTATTTATAGTAAACTTAAATAATTCAATATGCTTATTAGTGCATATCTAATAACCCCTACGTGATGTCCTGTATATAATTAGTTCACCTTCATTTGTATTAATATAAATTATTACTATTATTTTCTTTTCTTTTTTCTTTACTAACTTGTCGAAGGACAATACTCCACAACACTAATGTGAATTAATAATAAATAGACACATCCTTATTAATTATAAAATTAAAAAATAATACTCGTAAGTATGGTCTAGTTAATAAAACACTCAGCTCCTCGAGTGAGTATGTTTGACTCCCCCTCCCCCTAGTTCGCCATTAAAAAAAATGTACCTTATCATTTCTGATATAGTAATTAAATATGTACCTCACTATTTCTAATTTGATAATTAAAAATGACTATGGTTTGTATTGTTTCTGAATGCACTACCTTTTTATATGCACAACATATGTTTCTTTTACAAGCGAAAAAAGCTATCAAGTAGTCCTCACAAGTCATGCAAGTTTTGGTTGTTTTTAAAAGCAGTTAATTTTAAATTTGGTCGATGAATGAGAAAACGAAGGGCCATGTAACTTAGTGGTATCTCCTCACCTTCTATAGTAGAAGGTCGAGAGTTCAAATCTCCATATGAGCCTAAATGTGAGTATGTTTCTTACCAAGAAAAAAAACGAGAGGGGAGGTATAATCAGAGTCAAACATTTATTAAGATTTTCACTATTTCAAACAGTATCAAGTTCAAACACAAGGAACTAAGGAAAATGTCAAAATGTACATCCCAAACTTCCCAACCAATAAGACCCATATTAAAAATGAATAAATAAATAAATAAAAATCTTTACTTGAAAAGGAAAAAAATAATTCTTTACCCAAGAAAAAAAAAAAAAAGAAAAAAAAAATTATTTACCAATCAACATATTTCAGTGCCTTCCGTGTATCAAATAGCTCTGCAACTCCTACAAGAATTGTGCCAACATTGTATGCGACATGTCTATAAGCCACCCTTTCCTTTCATTTAGCCTGACCAAGGTTACTTTTATCTCTCTTGCATGTAAAAGGTCTTGTCAGTTCTCGCGCAACACCTGCACCGGGCTTCTTTCGCCTTGGAGGAACAGGATCGACCAAAGGACCCGACCAATTTTGAACTGGTTCTTTTGAATATGTGAATGAAGAGGAACTAAACGGGATATCAGGAGGAATAAGGGCAGGATCGATATGATGTGAAGCACCCAAGGGGACACCAAGTCCTCCATCCTGGTGAGGTGGAGGAAACTTCTCGCTCTTGCTTTTTGCATTTGCGTGGGTGATTAGACGCCGCCGCTGCATTAGAGATAAATATGTACAAAGCAAAGTTGATATGTTTAGGTAGATTTCCCAAGTACCAAAAATCAGAATATCAGAGAATGACAACAAAGGAGATTTTGCAAGTTTCACGACTCAAAATCAGATATAGTATTAATTTGGAAACAGGTGTGGTTACGCATTCATTGAGAAATGAACAAGCTTTGATTCTGCTGCCATACAATGACAAACTAATACAGCACAAATTAAAAATATTTCAGTGTTTTTTGCTCCATGTATCCGACAGACAGTCACCTCTCCTGAACTTCATACAATTTTTAACATGTTTTAGCTAGAGAACAGAAGATGCATGGATTGATCTCACTTTTTTGAACACGCATAAGATCATCTAATCACTACTCAATATCAAGGTACTCAGTAATGGTGTTGGGGTGGGGTGGGGTTGAGGGAATATGATACAACAAAAGAAAGTAAAAACTGCACAAGTTAATACATAAATCAGACAACTCACACAACCCGTCTATCATTTATTGTTTTAATTTTCTAGCGTTTCAAACTCCATTTCAGATTTAGAAAGTTCAAGTCTGTTTTACTATGCATAAACTACAACAAAAATACCATTAAAAAAAAAAAAAAAATCAGTCAAATTAAGCAACTATTGCAATATTTTGCACAAAACACGTCAGACCTAGAACCTTTCTGCTCCAAATTTCATTTAGATTCCTGTTCTTACATCACCACCGTCTATTGAGGTCATAACTTGGGAATTGATCAAAAAGTCTATTGCAGTTGTATTTGATTGCAAACAATTTGCACAAAATATATAAGACCTAAAAATTACTTGGTCCAATTTTCGTTTAGATTTCTGTTTTTCTTACATCAATACCAATGAAGGTCATAAATTGGGAATTGATCATAAACATCCATTTCAATTGGATTTGATAGCAAATATTTTGCACAAAACATATAAGAGCTAGAAATTACTTGCTCCAAATTTCTTTTAGATTTCTGTTCTAATATCACTGTCAATAAAGGTCATATTGGGAATTGATCAAAAGTGCCCATTGCAATTGTATTTGACAATCAAATTCCAAACATGGTTTCAAAATCTCCATCTCGAAACAAAATTCCGTGAGCTCATATCAACTTGTGTTTCCAGCTTGTGCATTTCCATTTATTTTTCTATAATAAGTTATCTTAATAAGCATAAACATCTAGAACGTTATGTGACGGAGCTACCTTAGGCTTCCCTCAAATTTTCTGTGTTTATATTTTCTATATATTGAATATTAAAATTGTAAAGCACACAATTCTCTTATTTGTTTGCTATAATCTAATTATCACTTTGCTTTTGATTTGGGGAACCTAAGTGAAAATAGTCCAAGTTCAAATACAAAGACAAGTTTCATTCCTCAATTTTTAATTATTGCATGCAAGGACTTTCTAGGTTTGTTGAATCTTAACTAATTTCACTTATTATTAATTGTAAGAGGGAATGAAGGATATACTACAATGCATGCGCATTTGAATTTGTTTGGTTTTGTATAATTGTGCTATTTAAGTTTTCCTCTAATTAAAACAACTTCGATCAGTAAGTTGTTTTACGCGTGTTTATCCGAGGACTTTCAAGGGAAGGTTCAGTCTTGGTGGGAGGAAGCGAATTTCACAGGCTCTGCTAGTTATATGTTAGCTAGAAAGTTTCAGTTTCTTAAAAATGAGTTAAAGAGGCGGAGTAAAGAAGAGTTTGGGAATCTTGAATGGAAGAAGAATAGAGTTCTTGCTGATATTGCTGAGCTCGATCGTCTTGATGAGGTGGGACAGAGTGGGGAATCATTACGCTCTAAAAGAGCCTCTTCCCAAGCGGTTTTTGCTGAGATAGCTCTTCTGAAGGAGATTTCGTGGCGCCAAAAGTCTCGGGCTTTGTGGTTAAAAGATGGAGATCGTAATACAAATTTCTTTCATAGACTTGCTAACGGTCACAGAAGATGTAATCACATCGGGCGTATCCAGGTCAATGGTTCTTAGTTGTGGAGGGAGGACGAGGTGCGCGGGGGGATCGTTTCTTTTTATCAATAGCTTTACACTGAGACTTTGGTTTGGAGACCTACTCTTGATGGTCTTCCTTTTAATTCTATTTCTGCGTTGGATAGTGATAGGATTGAGATTCCATTCACGGAGGAGGAAGTGCTTAAGGCACTTTCTAGTTGTAACGGGGACAAAGCTCAAGGACCAGATGGGTTTACCATGCGGTTTCTTAAGGAGAGTTGGGAGGTGGTGAGAGCTGAGGTGATGGGCACCTTTCAGGATTTTTATTCTCATGGCACATTTGAGAAATCACTAAACGCCTCTCTTCATTGCTCTCATTCCCAAGAAGGGCAGTGCCTCTGATATTAAGGACTTTTGGCCAATTAGCTTAATTGGATGTTTATATAAGCTTATTACTAAGGTTCTTGTCTCTAGGATGAGTATTGTTTTGGATGGTCTCATTTCAGAATCACAGAATGCTTTAGTTGGTGGGAGGCAGATTTTGGATTCTGTTCTTATCGCAGGAGAATGTATTGACTCTAGAATAAAAAGTAGGGTTCCTGGCGTTCTGTGTAAGCTTGATATCGAGAAAGCTTATGATCATGTTAACTAGAAATTTGTTCTGTATCTGCTTAGGAGGATGGGGTTTCGTGACAGGTGGATAAAATGGATTGAAACTTGTATCTCGTCAGTTATGTTTTCTGTGCTCTTGAATGGTTCACTTGCGGGTCTTTTTGCTAGCTCGCGTGGTCTGTGACAAGGAGATCCATTGTCGTTTTTTCTTTTCCTTATTGTCATGGAAGGTCTGAGCAGATTAATGAGAAAAGCGGAAGATTTGGGTTACATCAGGGGGTTCAGTGTTGGCAGAGATGTTGAACATCAAATGCAGATCTCCCATTTGTTGTTCGCGGATGATACTTTGGTTTTTTGTGATGCTGAAGTTTCTCAACTCAGATATCTAAGGTGCATTCTTGCTTGCTTTCAAGCGGTTTCTGGGTTAAAGATTAATGTTGGAAAGAGTGTGCTTGCCCAGTGGGGGATGTTCTAGATATTTCCTCCTTAGCTGCTATATTAGGGTGTGGAGTTGGTGTTTTTCCTCTTACTTACTTAGGATTGCCTTTGGGAGTCTCTTCTACACGAGTTGGGAATTGGGATCCAGTGATTAGTAGGTATGAAAAAAGATTAACAGGATGCAAAAGGCAGTATTTATCTAAGGGGGCGAAGTCACAATTATTAAGAGCACTCTCTCATCCCTTCCTACCTACTTTTTATCTTTGTTTCAAATCCCATACTCTGTGGCTAAAAGGATTGAAAAAATTCAGAGGGACTTTCTCTGGGGTGGAAGGGGAGAGGAATTTAAGTATCATCTTGTTAATTGGGTTCTTGTCTGACAACTGTTGAGGTTAGGCGGGCTAGGGATTCATAAAATCGCTCCTTTTAATCGTGCTCTCTTGGGAAAATGGTTATAGAGATTTGGAAAAGAACGCCATTGTCAAAGGAGAATAGTTGTCTTGTGTCGTTTTGGTGAGTGGAGTATGGGCTGGTCATCTCTTCCAGTCACTATTACGGGAGGCATTGCTGTGTGGAAATTCATTCGGAAGGGTTGGGATGTTTTAGCCACACACATTAGATTCAAAGTTCGTGATGGCAGACATGTCCGTTTTTGGGAGGATCTTTGGTGCGGAGATCAGTTGTTGTCTCACTCCTTTCCTAGACTTTACAGTATTGCAACCAATAAGCATGTCTACGCGATTGATTGTTACCAACTTGATAACAATGGAGTTACGTGGAATGTGCGGTTTAGGCGCCTTTTTCAGGATAGGGAAATGGAGGAAGCTTGTGTTTTTTTGGATACGTTGTATAGGCAGAAGGATATTGGCAGAGGGTGTGATGATATTTTGTGGGTTCCTTTAGCTCATAGTAGGTATGGTGTCCGATCCATGTTCTTGTATTTGTCCAATTTCGTTGGTCACGAGTTTCCTTGGAAGTCTGTTTGGCGTTCTAAAGCTCCTCTTCGAATCGCATTCTTCGTTTGGACTACCATATTGGGAAAGATTTTGACATTGGACAATTTGAGAAAGAGAGGCAACATCATTGTTAATTGGTGGTGTTTATGTAAAGCTGATAGTGAATTCGTGGATCATATTCTTTTGCATTGTCCTGTGGCATATGATTGTTGGAGTTTTATTTTTTGCATGTTTAGCGTTTTTTGGGTAATGCCTAAGCACTCCTCACAGTTGATTAACACTTGGAGAAGGTGCCCTGTTAAAGAACAAGCTCGTGATTATTGGAGGATTGTTCCACATTGTGTTTGGTGGTGTTTGTGGCGTGAGAGAAATAACAGATCCTTTGAAGGAAAAGAATCGTATTTAGCTAATTTAAAAATTCATATTCTTCGTTCTTTATTTGTTATGTAAGAGGAAATGCATGCTCCTCGGTTGATGATTTCTTTGATCTTTTGGATTCTATTGGTCCTTAGATCTTTTTTCTTCTTGTATTAGGGACGCGTTCCCCTTTTGAACGCTTTTCTAATATATTTTTACTTATCAAAAAAAATCATATCGTGCCCACTCACCTACCTCTTGCATTATCAAAATTACAGGAGAGGTAATTCATAAATTGTTCATAATCTGAAAGGAGGGACAAAGATAACGGTTCTTAATCGAAACAAAGACACAGAACTGTTGCGTAAGTTGTTCATGAAGTCCAACTGTTTTCTGATTTTCTGAGTTTGGACTGGTGTAAATTTCTGTCTCCACAAACGTATACACGTATATATTGTGTGTGTGTGTGTGTGTGTGTGTTGTTGAGGGGTGTTATTTCATTGGATGGTATTGGTTGATGAGTGGCTCGAGGTCAGCCATACTGTCTAAATGTCAGATTTAGGCATTAATGAGGGCCTAATAATAAATATAAATTTGATTAATAGAATTTTTTGATAACGTGGTAATAAAAGTTGAATTGAAAATAATGTGAAACCTTCCGCAAAGGTTAAATTGGATTTAGCAAAGGAAGCATATTTACTATTCGTAATATTATTATTTAGTTTATGTATTACATGATTTGTTAAATTAAATTGTCTTAATTATAGTTACCATTATAATTGTGTCACTAATTTGCATCGTATGTATTGTCAACTGGCTAGGTTGTTGTATACTAGACTTTCCAAGTTTGCCCCCCTTTTTCCCACTAATTCAAGTAGTTGGAGTGATGGATCGTTGGTAGATGATTCATTTTGTTTAGAGCTTTAATTAGTTAGAGGTTATCATTTTATTATTTGATTAGAGATTGTATTGACGTTTCTCATGCAACAACAAAAGTCGTTAATGTTTTGTTTTTATTTTTTTGGTAGCTACAGGTAACATTCTAATTTGTTATTGTCCTGAACCTTATGGCAATTGATATAAATTACAAATGAAACGTTGATCTTTAAATGCTTGGGATAAAATTTTATCTTTTGATATGGATAATTTATCGAGTCATGCCCTAAACTTGGGTGAAAGACAACATGCCTCGATCTCAAATTTGGGGTGCGTAACAGTTTGGTATCAAAGCTTCGGTTTTGAGAATTATTGTGGATTGTTGTAAGTTATCTAGAGGCTAGGTTATGAGAAAAATGATACTGAAGCAGATATAATTCATAGTTTTTTTTTCCTAGTCAGTACTCACACTCCCCCTCCAAGGGGGAATTGTTTGCACCTAGCAAGAATCGATCCTTTGACCTAATTCTTCATGAGGCACCAGAACCCAAGTCTTTTCCAACTAGTAGTTTAGTGTAAGAAAAGTTGGTAATGATAGAAATAAGTAATTTAGGCTTATGTAATAGGTCTATTTTGAATATAAGGTTTAGTTGACAGGTCATTTAGGAATTTTGGAGCATTAAAATTATATATTTAGCATATTATAGAAATCTATGAGATATTTGTATTATTGTGTGATGTTTGTGATCTTGTGTGCATGTAAAAACAAATAGTAAAAAAATGGGTGGTATTTGTGTTGATTTATTTTCTTAAATATTCGATTATACTTGTGGATAAATTTTCTGGATTGAATTAGAGCATGTTTGTAAGTATAGATATTGTGTGAGATCATGTAACAACAAAAGTTGTTAGTGTTTTTTTTTTTTTTTTTGGTAGCTACAGGTAATAGTTTAAGTTGTGCCTATCATAGCTGATATTAAAGTATGAATGAGTTGTTGATCCTTGATATGGATTATCTATGTAGTCATGCAATAAATTTGGGTGAAAGGTTGTCTTGGTCTCAAATTGGGGGCGTGACAATATTTTTGGCTAAATGTAACTAAAATTAAATCAGTAAGACATGATGGAAGCAATATGACAAACATACGTCAAGATTAGATTGAAGCTCCGCATTGGCTCCTGGAGCTGGAATTGCTCGAACAGCTCGTTCACGTGTGCGCACTTTCTTAACCTCATCACCCTGGGCCTTACCAGCAGCTCTTTGCCTGCACGGTGAGAAATTGTATTCTGGTTAAATAAAATGACAGGTTAATTCCGGACTATATGCATAAAGAAAGAAGTGCAAACAGAAAAGGTGAAACACAAGTTATTAAGAATGAAGGTAAAAACACATAAGATATGATGCACAAGCAATAAAAAATGGAAATAAAATACGCATCTGAACATGTGACCTATATATTCCATATGCAAAAGCAACCTGGGTGATATCCAATTTGTTCACAATTACAAAATATGAACTTCTTCATATTTTTCACTTAGACAACTAAAATATCTCCATCCAGAATGGAACCTAAGAGGATGGAATGGAACTTAAGCCATAATCATTTTCCCGAAATAATTAAAGAAACCGTATACGATAGATAATTTATATACTAATGATATACAATAAAAAAAAATTAGATATTTTAAATTAAAGGAGATCTACAACAAAGTATCTAAACTATGATTACACTCATTATCAAAGTCATGCAATCAGGTTTTGTTTTATTTCAACTTCCCAAGTATATAACACCAGAGGTAAGCAACTGATAAAATGAAAAGGTAATAGCCAATTAAACAGCACTCCAAATTCCAATATTAAATAGCAGTCTCTGTCGCTATATTAAAATAAAACAACTAAAATAAGCAATCTCAATTTCCTTTTTGATTTAATTAGCAACCTCTGTTGCTATGTTGAAAAAAAAAAAAAAAAAAAAAACTAAAATATGCATTGTTACATTCAATCACAACTAAAAATGTAAAAAGCATGAATTTCTAAAATATGCAAAATAGTGTAATGCACTTTCCCGTCTTCCCTCTAAATCCATCACATTAATGCACTTCCCATACTACCCACTCTCACGAAAACCATATTGTAATACCCCTCTTTCACCTCAAATAATCACACACAACTTAACTTGAAGTTTGAATAAAATTTATATGGTAAAATCATATTTCTGGAAATCGTTATACGGTTATACCATATTGATGAGGGAGTTGCAATGGAAGGGGGATTCATGAAATTTAACCTAAACAAAATCCTATATTTTCATGATTCTATCTTAACTGAAAAGTTATAAAATTACAAGTTTTACACATTTAAGGTGCCTTTGCAAAACTTCTGTAGCAAGTCTTAACTGAAAAATTAAAAACAGAAGCCTTAATACACAAGTAAAAAAAAAAAACAGTAAAGTAAAATAATCGATGTATACTTATCAAAAAAACAAGTAAAATAATCGATGTAATGATCCAATAAAGTATAAACACAGATCTCAGGTAACACCCACAAGTTCCTAAACACAGTACTTGCAGACAACCAGATTTTAAAATTTTGTACAATGCAAAGTTTAAAAAAGAATTTATCACCTTCGAGCCTCATCATCACGTCGTTTGGCATCTATCTCTTTTGTTGGAGGATATTGCGGGAGACTAGAAGGATCGCAAGCATATGGCTCTGTAGTGAAGAACTGCAAACAAAAGATAAAAAGAAAAAGGTGGAACAAAGTAAGGACCACTATCAAAGGATACGTCCAACAATAGGATTGCAAAAATTTTAGCAAGATTAATTTCATAACCAAAGAGAAGAAAAAGGTGGAACAAAGTAAAGACCACCATCAACAGGATACATCCAAGAATAGGATTGCAAAATTTTTAGCAAGATAAACTTCATAACCAAAGTGAGTATCCTCCACTAGATAAAAGATCAGTTCTGTGATCTCAAGCAGTAAAATGACACAGATTATTTAACATTATTTCAGTGGTCACTCAAAAACTAATGCATTCTAACTTTGGTTGGTACTGCTATAACATTTTTTTTTTTTTTTTTTTTTTTTTGGTAAGTAAGACAATTGTATAGAAGTGCTCAAAAGGGGAGCAAAGCCCAGTAGAACTATACAAGGCTAAAAAGGACCTCTAAACTTTCAAAGAGTCCAAAAAATCAACAATCTCCTATAAAGATGTATAATTTCTCCCTACAACCCAACAAAAAAAAAGTGGAGATAATAGAGAACTTAAGCATAGAAATAGGATTCTCCTTTCCTTCGAAGTTACCACTCATTACAAGAAAAGCTAGATACTGAGGATGGAGTAACTTGTGTCGTAGAAACAATTTCCCAGAAACAACAACATTATGACCTTGTATTTCATTCACTTAAGGTACATGTTAGCGCTCATTACAAAACTACAGAATGTTGACTTCAATATTTTTTTTCTTAGTTGTTGACATTGATATTTCCAAAACTGAAACACAAAAATTATTTGCAAAAACAACTTAAGAGGGGAACATAAATACTCATATAAAGTGATCAAAATCAGTTGTTCAGAGCGAGCCAAGAGAAACCTTATAGGAGAAGGAAGAGGAAAAAAGCTTTCCAACTCTGGTACCAGAGGTAACATTTCATGTAGCAAAGAAATTAAAGGACCAACATAAACATGACCAAAGTCCTGTTGTCAGAGCCTCAGACACACAGTGACATTGTCGGGTGACTCGGTACCCGTGCGTTTGTTTGTTGGTGACTCAGAACAATATGAGATATATCACTAACTCAATTTGATCCCAACAAAAATGGAAATCTTTTTTTTTTTCCTGGATACTCGCAGGCCAAGTGACTTACCCACTTGAGCCAAAAATTGGAAATCTTTCTCAAAACCAGATGGACTAGCAGACTACATATATTGAAATAATCTCCAGAACACTTCTCTCCAGTCTCTCCCTCTCCACTGAAATCTCATTATGATGCCCATTCTCAACTTCCCATCAGTATCATTTACAGCTTCCTAATTACTGTAATTAAACCCATTTTGGTTAATGTCTTCCAATTGCTTACAGTACACTTTAATTTTGATATAGTCAACATATATTTTCCCCATTTAAGAACATCCCCTATATCTAGAAACTCAACCTCATCTTTTTAAGTAAAACATTCAATTGAAACAGCCAATGCAACTAAGTAGTAAGTATCAAAGTCAATTCATTAATTTGGAATTCTTCTTTAGTGTCTTCAGAAAGCTTATGCAGATCTTCCATAATTTGTCTTCACAGACATTGAATTCCATTTTCTTTATTTGTCAGTCTTTCAATCACATTCAACTCTATTGTGCTGCTCAAATGATCATATATGACAAGTAACAGTTGAAAACATTTCAACCACCCAAAAAAATTTAGAAAATTATCTCAAATTAGTGGAAGTACGACATAAGAACAAGCATAACAACAGTAAGATCAAGGGCCATATAAACAAAAAAAAAAAGCAACAAAAAGACTGTAAACTAAAAGAAGATACAAAATGGTCACTGTATATATGAAGAATTACTTCACTTCTTAATGCATCAGTTGCAGTCTGACGTTCAGCTGGGTCCATTGCAAGAAGAGTTTCAATTAGAGGCAATGATGATGACGGGAAATCTTTGAACGTCTCCAAAATGCATCGCTTGTAAGGCTCCCGGGGCTTGAATAAGGTTGCATTAGGCAACTTGGATTTTTTCCAATATTCATCAGAAGGCGAGCCGCATAGCTTGTATATCTTATGTAATTGTTCTACCTTAATGACGGAAAAAAATATCTGTTAATAGTGGAAAAAGCTAGAATATGTTCCATAATTGCAAAAACAAGTACAAAGCTTAAAGAAACAAACAAAAAATCTGTATAATATGCCAGATGTCACACAATAAATGCAACTTATACCATCAATTGATAAAAAAATAAATAAATAAATAAACTAAGGATTAGAATGCTCAAAGAAAGTTAAGCCGTGACATGCAGATAATAACCAATTTAATGGTGAGAGATTTACTCATGAAATCAAACCATGACAGAGATACTGAAAGACTAGTGCTTGTCACACCACCAATGTGGGGTACTAGAAGGAAAGAGTGGAGATTAGGACAAAACTTTGGCCTTTTTTTTTTTTTTTTTTTGCAGAAAGTGGCTTTCTCTAAACTTTAATACATATTCATGAGCATGTCTGTTATGAAGACACTCTTACTGAATTATACCATTGTTAGATTGAGATCGACCTCTATGGAATGGGTGCAGGAATTTTCGCATTTCAGCAAGGTAGGGACCATGATCTCCAGTACATATATGTGTATATATATACACACCAAGACCACCACACAACTCACAGGTAGCTTGGCGTATTTAGCAAACTGTATTCTATTTCTATTTTAGCACTATTTTAATACTATTAATGGATCCGAGTGCATGGATTCTAGGATGACTAATGATGTTCCAGGAGTTCTCTATAAATTCTTTTAAAATGGGATTGTTGATATATCAACTAAGAGGATCAGGTAAATTAATCCTCATAAATCATTTCATATGCATATGAGTAGTGACAGGCTCGTGCTTACTGGGCAATTTGAATAAATTGTTGTGGGGTTCACTTGTGTGGTTCTAAATATTATCGGACTGGTGAAAAAAACAACCAAGCTGGGACCATAAACATGGTTATGCATAGAAGGCTAGAATGCTGAAAACCACAAGAGGGTGAGACTTGGTGCAACAGTAAGGTTGCTCCATTGTGACCTAAAGGCCAGGGGTTTGAATAACGGAAATAGCCTCTTCACATGCAGGGTAAGGCTGCATACATCTGATCCTCCCCAAACCCCGCATTGGCGGGAGCCTTGTGAACTGGGCTAGCCCTTTATACATGACATCCAACAAAGATTGCATCTAACTAAAACAACAAAAAAAACAGACTTCTAAATTTGAAAAACAAGGAACACCAATGATGCAACAAAAATATATCTAGAATGCATAGCAACAAAAAGACCCAATACAGATTGTTAAAGTGACTATACTTGAGTAACACGTTTTTTTTCTAATTAGACTGATGGATTGTTACCATATTTGTCTTTGACTTTCTTTGAAGTCTTTCCTTAGCAGTGCTAACAAACATAGAATTCGTTCCATTCGCTCCAATTGAGGGTTCCATACTGTTCCAAAGCCACGCATAACCTTACAATTTTCAGTTTCCCAATCATCATACCCTTTATAAGTTTTAGATGGAGGATCGTTTTTTATGTATTTTAGTTTCCTTTGAGCCCCTAAGGATATCCTCACGGCTTGAGCCCATAACAAGTAATTTGTATTACTCGGTTTATCAGTAGTAATTTGCAGCCCAACATGATCAGTAATTGCAGCAGAAGTTGATTTGATTTCACTAGGTTCTGATAGAGTTGGAACAAATACAAAAAAGCGAAGTTGAGGAGAGAAGCACTAAAGCACCCAAGGCCAAACAGAACACAGTACAGCTAATCAACAGTTAAGAACTTTGAGAGGTGGCCATCAATCACGAGTTGGGCCCCTGAATTGGAACAATCAAATTTTGACTCCAGGAGGAATGGACGAGTGAGATTGCATATAGTTGAAACCTATAGGGGACACCATCAAGAAGTTTGTGGATTAAAATGGTCAGCCTCAGGCCAGCAGTTAGCGAGTGGGGGAAATGACAATCTAATTCCCCGACACAGTGGCTGCACAGGCTCAAAGGCCACACAACTGCCGTGAAAGCCCTTGCTTGGTGCCCATTCCAGGGTAACTTGCTGGCCCTCTGGTGGAGGAGTAGGTGACCGGTGCATAAAGTTTTGGAACACCAACAATGGAGCATGCTTGAATTCAGTTGACGCAGGCTCGCAAGTGTGAGCTGCTTAGTTCTCATAGTTTTACTCAGAATCAGCTCACTCTTTGGAAATAGCCGTCAATGGTGAAGGTAGCAGAGCTTACTGGTCATACATTCGGAATTCTTTTCATGGCTCAGAGCCCATATGGATGTACAGTTGCATCTGCAGCAGGGGACGAAACACTGAGATTTTGGAATGCTTTTGGGACTCCTGAAGTGGAAAAAGCTGCACCAAAGGCAAACTTGGAGCCATTTGTTCACTTAAACTGGATTCATTGAATGCCATGGAAAAGAAAATGGATGGATGCATACACAAGATGGCCAGCTTTGGTAAAACCGACACATAGCTGTTGGCTTAAACAATTCTGAAGTGGCAAAACTGACACATAGCTGTTGGCTTAAACAATTCTGAAGTCCAGCTTTGGGATTCTAGACAGTTTAATTATTTTGAGAGGCGGCCATCAATCACAAGTTGGGTCTCCAAATATGGTAACAATCCATCAGTCTAATTAGGAAAAACTTATTACTCAAGTATAGTAACTTTAACACAGATAAATCACTATCACCTCTCCCTTTTCATGCCAATGCCAAAACTTCAGATTTATGGAAGATACAGCATGAACCGTGATAGAAATTGAAAATTTATGTGTTGAGTACTAATACAAGTCTAGATGTCAAATACCTAGACTTTTCTCCCTTTCTTTATTGATAAAAATAGATCTTTGATTTATATTATTATGGAGTCATATATTGTGGTCAAAATGCCATTATTGAATATAATGAGAAAGTTCTCTTGTGCATAGTTAGATTGTATATATATATAGAGAAATCTGAAAAACACAAAAATATTGCAATTTAGCAGTATTCTTTTTCTCTCCTATACATCTCTCTTTTACCCTTTTGTCAAAACCGTATCAAAAAGCGGGAGGAATAATAGAAATATGATGTTATATTAAGAGAGAGATGCATTTAAAATTTTACAGCATTTTGAGCCTTATAATATTATAAAGACTTGTTATTCATGCTTTAAATATCATGTTTTTATATTTTTTTGTTGGACAGTATCATAAAAACATGACATATATTTTTGTTGGACAGTAGTATGCTTGGGTATTTTCTTATATATTCTTACTTATCACAAATAAAATAAAAAATAATTAAAAAAAAAGTATTATGCTTTGGTATGTTTCTCGTGTTTGAGATGTGCAGGCAGCGGAGCATAATTTGAAGTTGATCAAGATCAAGATAAATGAGCAATAGTATTGAGTCTTTTATTTCCTTGTACAATGTAAGGGTCATAGGCTTTTCAAAGTATTATAGCACAGGTAAGTAAGACCTTGCTTGACTAAGATTTGATGTTAAAAAATATTTTTATAAACTTTTTTAAAAATTAGTGCTTTCAAAATTAAATTTTATGAGGAATATAGTGTGTCGATGGATAGTCAAAAAATAAAGTGCACTCCAAAATGCTTGATTGATAGGAGGATATATCGGACTTTCCAGAAAATATATATTGAACTCCAGTAAGCAACCGAAGGCTCGATCAATTGAGGGGACTCAAGTAGGTGTCGATTGATGGCTCAACCGATCGAACCCTCCAGACTTTTATTTTTGGTGACTCTCTCCAATCAGATTTTTGGAATAATTCAACTACCGTATAGCATGGGTCTTCTATATATAATATAGTCAATGTAATGTACAAGAGAGAATCTCTAAGCTTTTTTTTTTTTTTTTTTTGATAAGTAAAAATATATTAGAAAAACATTCAAAAGGGGAACGCATCCCTAATACAAGAGAAAAGATCTAAGGACCAATAGAATCCAAGAGATCAAAGAAATCATCAATCGAGGAGCATGTACTTCCTCTAACATAAAAGAATAAAGAACGAAGAATATGAATTTTTAAATTAGCTAAGGACGATTCTTTTCCTTCAAAGGATCTGTTATTTCTCTCACGCCACAAACACCACCAGACACAATGAGAAACAATCTTCCAATAAGCACGAGCTTGTTTCTTAACAGGACAGCTTTTCCAAGCGTTAATCAACTGAGAGAAGTGCTTAGGCATTACCCAAAAAATGCCGAAAATAAAACTCCAACAACCAAACGCCACAGGACAATGCAAAAGAATGTGATCCACGGATTCAATCCTTTAAAAATATGAACAGAGACAATCCTTTGTATCAAGGATTTTAAATAAAGTTAAAAATATATGTAATTGAGAGTTTTAAGCCAAGGAGATCATCAGAATAAACCACAAAGAGGAAGTCAATCGATCAAACAAAGAGCAAAAGGATTGAACAAGTCATGGAGAAGCAGATTGCTTATAGACAGAGTGGACAACCTGGAGCCTTAAGTGAAGAGTTAGGATTATCCAGGTTTTCCAAGTAAAAAATATTATCTCTGATCTTTTTTTATTTTTCTATGTTTATGTGATTGTGTGGATAAAGTTCAATATAGAATTACATAATTTCAAACCATAATCAATGGTAAGTTATAAATTAATATCCATAAGACCTATTCACCCCCTTCTAGCTTTGAATCAACATGCATATTTTGACATATCAGAGCCTTGGGTAACTGTCGTTATATTCCACAACATTATTTGTCAATTTTGTGACAAAAAAGGCGGAGAAAAAGGAAAAGTAATATTTAGGGAAGATATTCTATATTTAATATGCTTGATTTGATTGACAATTGAAAATTTGATATGATATACTTGAGGGGTAGCATATATTTTATTTGATTTGGTCGATGCCAAAACAGTTTGATATGCTTATAATGCATGGGCGTAGCTTGTTTCTTTATTTGATTTGTAGGTTTATTTTGTAGTTGTTTCTATTGTAATTGTTCAATTTATTATGTTTCTCATGAAATTGCCAAAAGGGAAGAACCTTAGGTAAATAGGACTTAAGTTGGCAAAATTTGTACAAAACAAAAGTCTATAATTTTGATTTTATTTTCAAAGTTAGTTGAGTTACGTCTATCCAATGGTGAATTGGAGATTCCAAAGTTTCATAAGGGGGTAAAGGTAAATTCAACTATCAAATTGAGTATCATTAATCATATTAGGGTTTTATGATATACTTATATACATGTTTTAATCTTTAAAATTAAGTTTTTGAATGCATAAAGAGTTTTTATCATAAAACCTAAGTGTTCCAAGTACAAGGGGAGTTTGAGCAAAATAAGGACCAATCGTGCCTTACTAGACTAGGTTCAAACCATCGAACTTAAGTTGGATCAATCGAAAGTGTGTAAGGTGTAAGACAATTTCCAAGAAGATTTTAAACTCTCAAAACCCTATACATTTTAACCTCCAAAGGCTAAATAAACACTCCTGTGGTTTCAATTATATATATAAGCATACACCAAGCACACTTATAGAGAGGCATACTGGGAGAGTTATGAGTGCTCTAGCAATCAAATTGCTATAATTTTTTTTCTTTCATTCGCCATTAAAGCATTTAAATTGTGAGTGTCTTTGAGTGTTGATCATCTATAATCTAGTGTAAGGAGTTCACACAGTTCATTCCAAAGAAGGAAGAGCAGATCTCATGAGAAGTGGATTAGTTCGTCGACAACAACAGTATTCGAGGAAGAACAATTGGTCCAAGTCTGGATCAGAGGTAATTTTGGTGGCAATAGGGTGCAACATTTGAGTGTATTGGATAAACAACTCTCTGGAATTGATTTTCTGAAGACTTTAACAGGTCTACTGGTGCAGAAAATAGTGTATCGGTGCATAACTCTCTATTTTGCTTGAAAAATCAAAAAATCAACTTGAAGCCTTGTCCAAAATATTCAAAAACCTTCTCAAAACACTTTTGAGTTAAAAAATAAAACTTTAAACCTTTGTTGAGTATCCACATACTCACACATTGGACTATGTGAATCCTCAGAACATTGACAAGTGCACATCTCTTACATGTCATAGCTCAACCTTTGACATTTTTACAAGGACACAAACATGACTCAAAAACAAAAATACAACTGGATCACTAGTTTCAAGAACAAATTTGCCAACTTTAGATGATATCCAACTAAATAAGCTAAAGGGAAAAGTTGCATAGAGATAAATAACAAAGAAATAAGGAGATTTGGGTGCAAGTACAATTGCTTGACACGTCAAATCCCTAAAGGAGCAAGTTGATCCCTAATTTGTGTTACATGAGCAAGACAGACAAAAAGACTCCTAACCACCTGCTTTTCAATTGTATAATGGCACAAGGAGTAGGATTACACCAAGGATCAGTGTTAATTCATACCTATTAACGATAGTATTAGATGAAATGGCAAAGGATATCCAAGAAAATATTCCATGTTGTATGTTGTTTGCTGATAATAGTTTTATTAGATAGTTCTAAGGAAGCCGTAACTGGAGAGTGAGTCTGGTATATTGTGGGATAGGCATATCCCCTTAAGATTGAAAGGGAAGTTTTATCGCATAAAGTGAGTGTGGCATAAATGCGAATGTTGAGATGGATTCACAGTAAGACTAGAAAAGAGAATTAGAAATGACCAAATTCGGGAGATGGTGGAGTAGCACAAATTGGAGATAAAATGAGAGAGAACCGGTTAAGATGGTTTGGACATGTGCAAAGAAGACCTTTAAATGCGCCAGTTAGAATGAGTGATATAGCCCGAATTGAGGGTAATACTAGGGGAAGAGGAAGGCCAAAATTAACTTGGGTAAAGTTAGCAAAGAAGGATATGATAGCATCTGGTATTGAGACTATAGCCTTAGATAGAGTAGAATGGAAACATAAGATTCATGTAGCCGACCCCAAGTAGTTGGGAAAAAGGCTTCTTCTTGTTGCTGTTCTAAGGAAGCCTTAGAAACAAAGTTAGAAACATGGAGAAAGTCTTTAGATGTAAAAGGCCTAAAAATTAGTAAAATACTAAAACTAAAACAGAATAATGGAATGTAAATTTGATAAAGTAGCAGAAGATAACAACATAAATATTACTGTTCAAGACCAAAGAGTTACTCAAAATAACTAATATCACAAAAAGATGAAGAGATATATGGTTTGTAGTAAGTAGGATTGGAGCAGGGTGGACAAAATGGAGGCAAGCTAGTTTTATCCTACATGGCAGACAAATATCTAATAAATTAAAATGAAAATTTTATAGGATGGTTATTAGGATAGCTGTATGTATGGAACAGAGTGGGGCATTGAAAAAAGAACAAGAGTAACACCTTCAAGTAGCAAAAATGATGATGTTAAGATGGATGATAGGAGTGACCAGAAGAGATAAGATTAGTAATGAACGAGTGAGTTGAACTTGTGGAAGAACAAAAAAGACACAAATTAATGATAAAACTTGAGAAAGCAGACTTAGGTGGTACAATCATATCCAACGTAGATCCAAGATGCAATAGTTAGAAAAGGAATAGCTATTTGTGTTAAGAAAAATAAAATTGAAGAGAGACATTGAATACGAACACACAAATATAGCGTGGTTCGGCCACTACAGCCTACATCCACAGTACACAAATCCCAAAGGGCTAAGTCTCTTTCATTAAATTTCTCTTGATTTTGTTTTCAAAAAACACCTCTATTTATAGGTGAAATAATACAAACATGTGAAACATGAAAAATATATTGATGAAAAGATTCCTAAAATCAATCCCATAAATTACTCCTATCAATATTCTATCAAAGGCTTAAATCACTCCCATATTGATGATATTCTCTAACACTTCCCCTCAAGTTGGTATACGGAGATTTTAACTCAAGTGTACCAACTTGAAAATAAATACAAAGTTGTCTAGACAAATTGTTGTTGAATGAAGTATACGTAGGGTATGCAAGAGTGAAGAACACGATCCCAAACACTTCATCAGGATGTGGCAAATAACTAACAATATTGATATCCGAGATGAGTAGATCTGATCGCATAATTTCAAGCGAGAAGGGAGAGCCAAATGAGTCTAGAGTAGGGTATGATAAACCTACTCAAATACCGTGTCAAGAAACATAAAATTGAAGAGAGAAATTAAGCATATATATGGCAGTAAAAGAATAGGCATATATTTTTTAGTATATTCTATAGTTAAGAAGTTGATGCTTGAAAGTTATCATATTTCGTTGCCTGGGTGAGTTCCGCTCATTTGTGGACTTTTAAGAAACTTGTACAGATGGAGTTTAGCATGGGACTTTTGTATAATTCAAGAGTAAACAGGTTGTGCAGCTTGTGCCCCATCTGGCAACGTGTTTCTAATACAATTTACTTTAAAACAAAATGAAATGAGTTCTAGTACTTTGTTTACTGCATCCATCATTATATATCTAGCATGGCAAGTGGATCGTTCAATTGTTGAACTCTTTGTTGCTGCGCCTAAAGGTCTTCAACAACAAATCTACACACACAGTTGGATGTTACTAGTGAGGAGATAGAAGACCCATGGAGAAGCAGGTCACATAAAGAGTGGATTTGTCAATAGATCAGTAATTGGAATATCTGGTGTTCATCTTGCGTAAGTTTGAGGCAGGGGGACTAAGGGATTCTTGAGTTAGAGTCCGGTAACTTAGTCTAGAACCTCTTTCTCACATAATGGATTTCTAGCTCCCTAATTAAGTCAGCTGATTTTTCCTAGTTTAGATTTTTCAATGTAAAAGTCCTTGTTTTTTGTGTGTAATTGTTTTAATTCTAATGTATTATATTCTCAAATGCATCATTGACAATAGGGATAAACTGTCCTATTTGCCTGCTAATTAATTTGATTTTAAAATTGCAATAAAATAAGCTATTATTTAAGAATCTTTTAAAGTTGGTTAGCCCCTCTAGGTCTAGATTACAGCCTTACTCTACTCTAATCAGAGCCTAGGGTTCAGATTGATAGACTTCTCAGTTATGAATGTGTATCAATGCTAACACAATACAGAAACGATGCCATGAAGTCGTATGAATACATTTCAAGAAGGGTCTTACGAAATACTTAATCATTGTGCAAATTGCCTGTTTTAGTGCACATCAGTGTCAACTGTCAACAACAAATAGACCTACAAAAAAGGGGAAAAAATGTGTAACACAAAAATAGATCACTCATTTCTAAGGTATTTTGGTAGAACAACCTCCACCACTATGATATAATTCATCTACAAGTTCTTCTACTGTTCTACATTTTTATACCATTCAGTGTTCGGTTGTATCTTTCCCTTTTCTTTTATTTTGAATCTGGCAGTTCGACTCTATGGAGCAACAATAATAAGAAGAAGAAAGCAGTGACTACTGAGAATGCAACCTTACACTCAAGCCATCACTCGGTCTCCTACATTAATTCCATAATAGCAAATATAAATATATATATTCAAGTCTTGAAAACTCATAAATTTAATTAGAGAAGATAGTGCCACACAGATAAGCAGGAAACTGTTAAACCAGAAAAAGAATTGGATAGAAAATTGCCAATCACATAAAGTTTAACCCAGAATATTAGACCATAGAAGAAGTTAATTACCTCCGTACGGCCGGGCATGATAGGCTTCCCAGCCAATAATTCAGCTACAATACAACCTGCACTCCACAGGTCTATGCCTACGCCATAATCAGTAGCCCCAAGAAGAAGCTCTGGAGCTCGGTACCAGAGTGTGACGACCCGACTGGTCATTGGATGCTTGTCGCTAGGATTAAAAATGGTAGCCAACCCAAAGTCAGCTATCTTAAGTACACCCCCATTGTCAATAAGAAGATTTGATCCTTTAATGTCACGATGGAGGACACCGCGATTGTGACAATGCTCAAGTCCAGATAATAGCTGGTGCATGTAACACTTAACCTACAATAAAAAATTATAGTCAGCACACATATAAAGTTGACTATGCCACCAATGAAATATAGTAAGGCATGTAATACTAGTTATATTTTCAAGAGAAACTCGGCCTACCTGTGGCTCTGTAAACTTAATTTCTGGGCTAGCAGCGAGTCCAGCCAAATCATGCTCCATGTACTCAAACACCAGGTACAAACTACATGACATTCTTGAAGTAACCAAACCCTCCAGTTTTATAACATTGGGATGATCCAATCGCCTCAAAATGATAATTTCTCTAGCCATAAATCTCACACTTTCTGGTTCCAAATTATCAAATCGTACCTTCTTTAGCGCAACAATTTTACCTGTTACAGTATCTCTAGCTTTGTACACATTGCTATATGTTCCTTGCCCGATCTAAAACATACAAAGGTGCACATATCTATAAGACAGAACATATCATCAAAAGAACATAAATAAATGAATAATTAAAACAAACAATCCACCTTATCAATTTTTTCAAAACTATCAGCCCGTCGAGGAAGCCAACCATCGATTGCTTCCCCAACAACAGCAGAGAGCCAAGATGGCCATCCAGCAGCAACCCGTTCCCCATGCCTATGCTTCACCAGATTTCGCAGCTTCGGATTCGGCTTCGATCTTCTCCTCTCACCTTCAACCTTCTCCTCCTTCTGGGTCCCATCATTATTAACCTCACCATTATCATTATCAACCCTTGTTTCCCCAACCTCCAACACCTCTTTAGATTCAACACTCAAATTCTTATTCTTATTTTTCTTCTTCTCACTCTCAGCCTCTCTCCTCTCTTCCTTGGACTCGTGAACTATGCCAGACGAAACCTCTCGACCAAGAACACACCCCATTCGTTGAATTTACACTTCATTCCTCAACATATTTACACGATATTTTCTAATCATCAATGAATCTCTCTTAACACTCAATAAATCGATCAACAGTAATAGTACAACCACCTGCAAAAAGTCAATAGAAATCAACAAAATCTCATCATCTTCATCTGATCAACTATCGCTTCACAACTCAATTGATCGATCTCACACTAAAAATATAACACATAAATATACATATGCGTAACAATAAACATACACAAACATAAACCCTAATTCAGAAAGCGATAATTAGAGTGCTCCAAAATACACGGAAGCTAAAATGAGAGAGATAGTAGAACGTAGTGTGATACATGGAAATTGACCATTCAACAATGAGAGAGAGAGTTGAGTACTACAGTACTTGATTAAATCTGGGCGAAGAAAACAGTACAGTATATGAGAGAGAATTTAGAACCGTTTTGTTTCTCTATATCTTCTTCTCCTTACTTTCGAACAAAGAGGTATAAAGCAATCACGGCTATAAAAGTGCGTGATGTATATATATAGATTTAGATACAGAAATAGAGAGAGGTTGATTTCTGCAAGTCAAACCTTCGGTGTAATGTTGTAACTAGTAAGAAGCAACTTTTAAAATTGTGGAAAACTTCAATGGGTAGAAAGTTTTTGAAGTCTAGTTTAAATTCGGGAATAAAAGGGCAAAGTATAATAAACCACCTCGGCGCCACCATATGCCAAATCCTTTCAGGAAAACACGTGTAATAATTTATTAAATTTTTTACCAAAGAACCCTCCAATTATCCTAATAGTAAAAAAGTGGCTGTTAAGACCAAAATGCCCTCTATTTTATTTAAATCCTAATTCATCCATATTTAAAAAATTTATATTTCACAAACCGTACATCCAAAAATTACAAATAATATATGCTCGAAAAGCTTATGAAATAGGAATTCCAGAAATATAAAACTTGTGCAACAAACTGCCATAACCAGAGAGAAATACGTAATCTAAGAATCTGTTAGGAATTCCAGAAATATAAGATCTGTGCAACAAATCGCCAACAGATTCTTAGATTGCCTATTTCTCTCTGGTTACGACGGTTTATGGCACAAATCTTATATTTTTTGAATCTGTTTAATAAGCATTTCGTACATATATTATTTGTAATTTTTGAATGTACGGTTTGTAAGAAATACTCGAGATATTTGCAATAAAATTTTCAGAATTATTCATTTGCATATGGATCATAAAGCCCCAATAGAGACCAATTTTCATGAGATCGATATTATATTGTGTGTCAAGTATTTTCATTTTCTTATAGACTCATCATTTTAGAAAAAGTGATCACATTGCCTTAATATTCATATCCGACCCGTTAACCGAGTTATGAAATAACAAATTTAACCTTACTATTTAATGTTAAATTAAAAACTAAAAATTATTTTTTTAAATCACAAAAATACCCTTTAAAATTACAAAATATATGTTTTTGTGTGAGATGTGAGAGTTTTTGAGAGAATGGGTGAAGATTAAGATTAAAGGGTATTTTTGTAATTTTAAAAAAGTAGTTTTTAATTTTTAATTTTACATCAAATAGTAAGGTTAAAGTTGTCATTTTATAACCCGGTTAATGGGTCGGATACGGATCTTAAGACAATGTGATCACTATGCTATAGGCTAAGAAAGGAAAATAAGTTAAATTTTTTAAGAGTTTGGTTAGAAGGAAATTTTTGTATGAAAGTAATTTTTCATATCCACCCAATTTTTCCACAAAATTTTCCCATAAGAAAAAAAAAAAACCACAAGAAAATTTTGCTTTCTTAAGAAAACTATATAAAATTTCAATTATAACACCCTTTCACTTTCTAAAATAAATTATGTATATGCATGATTTTTTTTAAGAATATTATACTTATAGTTACCTCTCTCTCTCTCTCTCTCTCTCTCTACATATCACAAAATTTTATTATTTAGATTCTTATATTATTTTTATTTTTTTATAAAAAAATTTATTAATTATAAATTTATTTAGACCTATTGTCATATTTAATAAGAAAATGGACAATTTAAGTAAATCGTAATATTTTTTATTAACTTTTATGCTATCTAAACTATAAAATGAGATTTTCTCACACAAGTTTCTTAAAAAAAAATCATGTTGACCAAATGAATCCTATAAAATTTATTTTCTTTTCCTTCGCTTTTTTTCACTTTTACTTTTTATCATTACCATCTAAACGAACGGATCGTTTAGGTTTGTTTGGTTAGCGTAAAGTAATGAGAAAGAAAAAGAAATGGAAAATTTAAAAATTTTAGAGGGTTTGGTCAAATAGAAAGTGAAAATTTTGAGAAAAATAAGATTCTCGCATCTCATCGATTTTTCCCAAAATATTTCTCACACAAAACACAGGTAATTACCAATGGGCCAATGGCCCTGTGGTACCAAACCCTGAAAATAAAATAAAAAATAAAAAAAGAGATAAATTTTACTTTCTCATGAAAAAGTGTGCTTTTATATATTTATTTCCTATTCTACCCAAGTCAGTTTCTCCATCATCACTCTTCTTTTCAAACTTAACCGAATGTGTGAGTTTTGTTCTTCTATAAATTGTTGAGTTTATATGATCATGGAATGATAATACAAATATCTATATTTGTATATATAAATGCAAATATATTCATACAAAATTGATATTTTTTTCTTCTTTTATAGTTAAATTTATTTATTTATTTATTTTAGTTGGTACTCACACACACATACTTCTATGGAGACTTAAACCCTTAACCTTCCTTTGGAAAGTAAGGGTATGATACCGCTAGGCCACTGGCCCGTTAGTTATAGTTAAAATTGTTTAGAGTGATATATACATACATATATGTATATATAAATCAAGTACTTGTTCCATTGATACAATTACAACGATTGCTGCAACCATGCTCATTGGAAACACAAAACTTGAAATCACGGAATTTTTTTTTTAATAATTTATATTTTACTATTTATATGCTAAAATAAACCAATGAATATAAAGAGTATTCATATAACACAAATTTATTTTATTTTTTAGTATTTGAAATTGAGAAGGACAATTTAAATAAGATAGTACAAACAAATTGGATAAGGTAGTTCAACCGTAGCTGACTAGTTTGAAATTAAACGGAGACAATTGAGGTGATAACAAGTAGATTACAACAATTCAAATTCAAAAGGAAGAGTTTCCTCGAATATCTCCTCAAATCCCAATAAGTTACAACAATTATACCAGAGCATCATTATAAATATGACCTCTCACCAACCAAAGAGGTATAGGACAATTAATAAATTAAATTCCTGCTTTTACTTTAGAGCTCTATTAACTGACTTGATTGTCGGAGAGCTCTTGGCAGGCACCACACCGGTGTCAATCAAGGTTCACCTCTTTTTTGCAGGAAAACGGTGTTGTTTCAGGATTGTGTAAAATCCTGCTTCAACAGTTGGCACCGTCTATAGGAACGTGTACTGATTTTCCAAATAAATTAGGGTTATGTCGCTATCCGATTTAAATGCCGAGGGCAGTTTTAAGCATCGAGCCTCACACCAGCAAGACTCACCCATATTGATCCTCTGCAAGGGCTCATCCAGATCGAGCCTTGCACTGGCGAGGCTCACCCACATCAAATTTTTGCCAAAGCTGACCTCCATTGAGCCTTTAGTAAAGGCTCACCTAGATTAAGCCTCGCATTAATAAGGCTCACCTACATCAGTAAGGGTTTACCCAAGACTCACATAAATCAACAAGGGCTTATTCAGGCATCTCATAGTCAAGGCTTACCCATATCACGCCTCTAGTAAAGGCTCACCTGGATCGAGCCTCACAATGGAAAGGCTCATCCAAGCCTCACCAAGGTAAGGCTGGGCAGGGTTGCCCAGTAGCGCAAGGCAGCTCCCCCACCATGGCTAGAGAAGTCTCCCACCAAGTCAGAGGAGAGGCCAGACCTGGCAGGGTCGCCCAATAGCGCAAGGCAGGACCAAGTCTTCTACTAAGACAGGGGCAGACAGGTCTCCCACCAAGGTGAGGTCATATAAGTCTCCTACCAAGCAGAGGCCAAGGCAGACAGGTCTACCATTAGGACAAAGCTAGGAGGTCTCGCACCCATGTCAGGAAGGTTTCCAACTAAGGCAGGGCCAGGTAAATCTCCTACCAAGGCAGGACCAAATCTCCTACCAAGATAGGGGCAGACAGGTCTCCCACTAAGGTAGGGTTAGACAGGTCTCCCATGAAGGCCAGATAGGTCTCTCGCCAACGTAAGGCCAGGTAAATCTACCGCTAGGACAAAGCCAGGGGGTCTCACACCAATGTCAAGAAGGTCTCCAATTAAATCAGGGCTAGGTAGATCTCACACTAAGGCAGGACCAAGTCTCTTACCAAGATAGGGCCAAAACAGGTCTCCCACCAAGGTAGGGTAAAGCAGGTCTCCAACTAAGGTAAGGCGGGGCAAAATCTCCCATGAAGGCCAGGTAGGTCCCTTACCAACGTAAAACCAGGAAGGGTCGCCCAGTAGCGCAAGGCAGGTCCTTGACCGGGGCTAGGCAGGTTTCCTATCAAGGCAGAGGCCAGGCCAGGTAGGTTTACCATTAAGGCAAGGCTAGGAGGTCTTACACTAATGTCAAGAAGATCTTCAACTAAGGCAAGGCCAGGTAGGTCTCCCACCAAAGGTAGACATGTCCCACTAAGACCAGAGATAGGTCGCTAGCATACAAGGTCATCTAGTAAGGATTGATGCGACTGAGCGTGTGCACAAAATAATGCACAACACTTTAGGTTTAGAAATAATGTCAAGTGGGCATCATATTTTATAATTTATAAAATCACTAAACACTTATACTATGGAGTATGAAGCGAGTAAGGATCGTCCCAACAGATCTAAACAAATATTAATTTTTGGGATTGAATTCTACTTTAGTACTTATGTGATTGCTAAAAAAAAGTTTGTTTTGTGGTTAGAACTAATTTTAATCTAAATATTACAATAAAATATTAGAGTTTAAAGATTAGGAAAGAGACTTAGGGTGTAGGATTCACCACTAAGCACATTCCCTAACTCACTAACTTTCAACTAATTAAGGAAATAATAATATGTAATTCTAATGTAGCTAACACTTGCAAGGAAAAGTATGAATCATCAATTTCAAGCTTGAATTGCCTACTTAATGACAATTAAACTAAGTGTAGCGCAATTCACCAATTCAAAGCATGACTCATCAATTCAAGTTACAATTTTAACATACATCAATCAAAAGGGTAATGTATCTGTGATAGTAAGTATGGATGGTCTACTTACCTAGGAAATTAAGTGCAATTAAACTAATTAAATTTAAATTAAACTAACTAAGCATGAAATTAAACTAATTAGACATTGAATTAATCTAATTGTGTAGTGCCATCCATCTAGTAGAAGTATTTTCCATCAAATTTTACCATTAATACAACTAATCAACACCATGCATAGCCATCACAAGAATCAATTAACAAAGAATTCAAGTGTAGAACTTGATTACCAATCAAACACACATAAGACAACATGATATTGACTTAGATAATCAAATGAAAGAATTAAATCATAATATTCAAGACTATACATCAATTACAAAATTAAATCCCCAAAAAGTAAGAAAGAAAGAGAGATTAGGTTACATGCTTAGGGTTTATCCAACCCTAAGTTAATGTGATATATCGATTACCATAAAATAAAAAATTAATTCAAAAATAATAAAAACTAACCCGAAATAAAGGTCATGTTTTCCCTTTAATACAAAACCTAATAAAGCCCAAAGTTTACAAAAATCAGCCCAGAAGGTTAAAAGCCGTATCCATCAAAACAGGTCAAACCCGTAACTAATCTACTACTAGAAAGCTTGGCATCCGGACGTGGAGGATGGCGTTCGGACGCAGTGTGCTGGAGAATCGTGTCCGGACTCCAAAAGCTTCGTCTGGATGTAATGCATTCTTGCTGCTTTTTTTTACTATCTTCTGGAATTTTGTCCCGATGCTCTAACTTGATTCCAAAACGCCATAATGGACTGTTTTTAGCTCATTTTAACTTTATTACCCTGAAATACACATAAACATAAATTAGGACTAAAATATGAAAGTAATATAGATGTAAGGACTGAAATACCCTAACTTAGGTGCTGAAATGTGTAACATTTAAGCACTTATCAAGGATATTTTTGAAGAACGAATATAATTGGTCATCGAATCCAAGGAAGATGATAGAGACTATTATTCAATAATTTACAGGTCGTATCACTAGGGCATCCTCAAACTTCCTCAAACACGACTACTCCCTTTTTTTAAAGGGAGAGTTGGGTTAAGCCCCTATAATTTCCCCAATTATTAAAGGGATGAACTCATGAAGTTTGGGGAAACCTAATCCCCTACCAAGGTCAAATTCATGAAGCTCAGCGTAATGGGTGAGCTCACGAAACTCGAAAAATTCACTTTCTTATTGACGGGCGAACTCACGAAGTTCGGGAAAGCCTACTCCGTTATTAAAGCAAGCTCATAAAGCTCGGTGAAATACACTTCCCTTTTAAAAGGGCGAGCTGAGTGAAACTCGTAAAATATACTTTCCTTATTAAAGGGCGAGCTGAGTGAAGCTCATAAAAAAATACTTTTATTATTAAAAAGTGAGCTAGGTGAAGCTCGAAAAATTCTACTTCCTTTATTAAAAGGATGAGTTGCATAAAGCTTGGAATACCTACTCCTTATTAAGGATTAGCTAAGTATAACAACTTCATTGTTAAAGGGATAAGATGAAAGCAACAATACATGCTTAGCTTGGATTGAAAATAGCTCAACTTAACAAAAAGAAGAAAAACAGTGTCTGACATTCCTAATCCTTAACGAGTAAGCTTGGCAATGGGGGGCAACTGATAAGAACAATTTAAATAAGATAGTCCAAATAGATTGGATAAGATAGTTCAACCGTAGTTGACTAGATTGAAATAAAATGCATGGAGTTAAGGTGATAACAAGCAAATCACAATAGTTCAATTTCAAAAGGAAGAGTCTCCTCGAATATCTCCTCAAATCCCAACAAGTCGCAACAGCTGTACTAGAGCATCGTTATAAATATAACCTCTCACCAACCAAAGAGGCACGGGACAATTAATAAATTAAATTTCTGCTTTTACTTCAGAACTCCAGTAACTGACTTGATCATCGAAGAGCTCTTGGCAGGTACCACACCGGTGTCGATCAAGGTTCACCTCTTTGTTGCAAGGAAACGGTGTCGTTTTGGGATCATGTAGAATCCTGCTTCAACAAAAATCATAAGGGTATTTTGGTAAGTAGAACCATTTTTTTTTTATTTTATATTTTTTTATATATATATTTTTCATATTATCCAAACTAACAAAATAATATTTTCTCACAACTTTCTTCAAAAAAATTCTTGCCAACCAAAAGTACGATGGAAACTTGATTTTCTTGTAATTCACTTCACTTTTTTTCACTTTCACTTTCCATCATAAATTTTTGTCTAACCAAATAGACCCTTAATGAATTCTAAAGGGGCTGCCAACATGCTAGCACGTGCCCTAAAAAAATCCGTAAGTGTCATGCCTTATAAAAAATGGCATGTATCTACCATTGCTGCATCTCAAGTTGCATTTATAACTATACATGTTAGTGAATATGATTTATAATTCGGATTGATCCAATTCAAATGTGAGTTAAATAGTATATGAATTGAAACATTCACCGATAACCTGTTAGCGACTCGAATCTGATAATTTGTTAACTTAACAAATCGATTATGGATTTGATTGACTCAATCCAAATTTGATCCGTTAACAGGCTTATGGGTCTTGATTTGTTATTGTATATAAAATACTCCCTCCATTTCATAAAAAATGCCCATCCTCCCATTTTTTGATATTCCAAAATAATTGTTCCAATTCAAAACCCAATGTAATTGAGGGGAAAAAAAAATCTAATATACTATTTTTATAATATCCCTAATTTAGCCTCCGTGCCTTGAAATTATAAAAGTAATGATCTCATGTGAACCCACCATAGAAGTCTATGATATATTTGAAAATTCATTCTTTACTGTACTCCTGAAAAGTTTGATTATCAAACATGAACATTTTTTTTGTAGGATTGGGGAAGTAGATTTTAAACTTTTTATATTTATTTACTAAGATGTTGTTCAATAATTTAATTGAGTGCTTAATTTTGAATGAATTAAACAGCTATTCAATTAAATGCGTTTATTCAGGAAAAAAAAAAAAAATTAAATGCGTTTATCACTTGAAACAATAAGCTTACATGACATCCCACTGGAAATTTTAAAAAATAAAAATAAAAAAACATTTATTTTTAATTACAAACTTAAAAACTTAGAATTTTCAATTTTCTCTGTCAACAAAAGTGAAGCAAGAGTTTTAACCAAAAAAAAAAAAAAAAACGAAAAAAGGTGAAGCAAGAGTCGCCTAACAAATTCCTCTCTTCTCTGGGTTGGGAAATTTCTCTCTTTGCATGGTCTAATCGACAAAGTTCTTTACATTTTAAAAATGGAGAGGAAGAGATAACTTAATGGCTTCAACTTTGGACTCAGAAACACTCAAATTGAACTCAGTTGTTCTTTTCTCATCTTCATGCCTTCTTCGTTTGTTCGTATCAATCACCTCATACCCAAAACACTCTTCGGACTCGTCTCCAATTATTCCTTCTCGACTTATACTTCAGCTATCCATCATGCCCAATTCAGCCAATTGCCACCCATTGTTCACAAATTCTTATCTTTCTTCCAAGAATGCTCGGAAAGCCTTAACTGGGTCAAATCAATCCATGCTCAGCTCATCATCAATTCAATATCCACCGACCAAACTCTGGCAACTAAGCTTGTCAAGATTTACTCGAACTTGGGAAGTTTAGAAGCTGCCCGCAACGTGTTCGATCAAATTTCCCATCCAAAAGTGTTTCTATGTAATGCCATGATGAGTGGGTATTTACTAAATGAGCAGTACAACGAGACACTCGACTTGTTTGAGAAGATGGATTGTTTAGAAATTGATAGTTGCACTTGTACTCTCGCACTCAAAGCATGCACGGGCTTGTCAGATTATGAAAGTGGGATGGAAATCATTAGAAATGCTGTGGAATATGGGATGAAAAGTGACAGGTTCTTTGGAAGTTCGATGATAAACTTTTTGGTGAAATTTGATGACATTGCTGAGGCGCGAAAGGTATTCAATGACATCCAGAACAGGGATGTTGTTTGTTGGAATTCTATGATTGGAGGTTACGTGAAAGCATTTCAGTTTATTGAGGCTTTTGATCTCTTCTCTGAGATGCGTAATAGTGGCATTAGACCAAGTCCTATAACTACGGCAAGCTTGATTCAAGCATGTGAAAAGATTGGGAATTTGAAGCTCGGAAAATATATTCATGGACGTGTGTTTGGTTTTGGAATGCATAATGACATTTTCGTGCTTACCTCATTGGTTAATATGTATAGTAAAATGGGTGACACAGGAAGTGCTCGTTGGATTTTTGACAGGATGCCCCATAGGAATTTGGTATCATGGAACTCCATGATCTCAGGATGTGTTCACAATGGTTTGGTATGTGAATCATTTGACCTCTTTCATAGATTAGTCGATAATGGTGGTGGGTTCGATTCTGGAACTATTGTTAGTCTCCTTCAGGGTTGTTCACAAAAAGCTGATTTAGAAAGAGGAAAGATCCTCCATGGTTGCATTTTAAGAAGGGGTCTTGAATTAAATCTTATTTTGTCTACTGCGCTCGTTGATTTGTATTCTAAATGTGGTGCTTTAAAGCAGGCAGCAGGTGTCTTTAACCGAATGAAGGAAAAAAATGTAATTACATGGACTGCTATGCTAGTAGGGTTAGCGCAAAATGGGCACGCTGAGGATGCCTTAAAATTATTTCATCAGATGCAAGAAGAAGGAGTTGCTGCCAACTCTGTCACTCTTGTTAGTTTAGTCCACTCTTGTGCTCATTTGGGCTCCTTGAAGAAAGGAAGAAGCATCCATGCTCTTTTAATTCGGCATGACTTTGATTTTGATGTGGTTAACATGACATCCCTAATTGATATGTATGCCAAGTGTGGAAAAATAAAATATGCAGAAATGGTATTCCGCATTGGATCCAACTTTAAAGATGTTATTTTATGGAACTCTATGATAACAGGCTATGGCATACATGGTCATGGGCATCAAGCTATTAGTATGTATAGAAGAATGATAAAGGAGGGAATTGAGCCAAACCAGACTACCTTTGTTTCTCTACTAGCTGCTTGCAGTCACTCGGGTCTGGTGGAGGAGGGAGAAATTCTATTTAACAACATGGAAAAAGACCATAATTGCGTGCCTAACGAGAAGCACTATGCTTGCTTTGTGGATCTTCTTAGTCGAGCAGGGCGTCTTGAAGAAGCCGAAGCATTGACTAGGAAAATGCCTTTTGAACTGGGTAGTGCAGTTCTTGAAGCTTTGCTGAATGGGTGCCGTACTCACAAGAACATTAATTTGGGTGTAGAAACTGCAGATAGATTGCTTTGTTTAGATGCCACGAACCCGGGAACTTATGTTGTATTATCAAATATATATGCTGAAGTTAAGAGATGGGATGCAGTGGATTACGTTCGAGATCTCATGAGGAAACGGGGACTGAAGAAGACACCTGGTTATAGTTGGATTGAAGTAGGAAACCAGGTTCACACATTCTTCGCGGGTGATGATTCACATCCAAACTGGATTGAAATTTACCAGTTTTTGGAGACTTTAAGATTGGAAGTGGAGGGTTCTGGATATGAGCCTGATACTAGTTGTGTTCTTCGTGATGTGGATGAGCTGATGAAGGTGAAGTTGTTGTGGGGCCATAGCGAGAGACTAGCAATAGCTTTCGGGCTTTTGAGCACGCCAGCCGGAAGTTCAATTAGGATCACTAAGAACCTCCGTGTTTGTAGTGATTGTCATAGTGTGACCAAATATATATCAAAGATAGTAAAGAGAGAGATTATAGTGAGAGATGCTAATCGTTTTCATCACTTCATGGATGGCAAATGCTCTTGTGGAGATTACTGGTGATGCGTGCCTTCTATAAAAGCTATTGGAAGAGAAATGAAGATCTCCTCTTGTGGAAGTAAATGGGGAGAGCTGTTTGGGTTGCATGACATAGTGGACTTTGTATGTAAGCCCTCCAGGCAAAGCAAACGAGCACATAGCAGCCACGCAGGAGTGAGAGTTCTATTTCTTGTGGTGCACCCCACTACCTCCCTCTGATATTCTGAATTTGGAGTGACATTCTGAATTCAGAGTTCCAAGTGACATTCTGAATGTGTATCATTGCTCTTTTGTTTTTCATCTCTCTCTCTATATATTTTTTTGGTAAAAATGGAATTTAGTTATTTCAATGTTGATTTGATGTCACGTATTATCTAAAATTTTGCCTTTAGAGGAATCACACTGTCTAATGTGAATATTTATTTACTTATTTGTTAAATCAAACAATCGTGTTCTGTATATTTGCATTTGATCTGACTATAAATTTTTAAAGAATGAGAGTATTATTTACTATGTATAGTATTGCACCTCGGTTTCATAAATCACCTGGTTTAATGTTCAATTTTTGTCCTGTTTTTATTTTTTATTTTATTTATTTATTTTATGTTCTTAACTCTTTAATGGCTCTATCTCCATTAGATGTACATTTGCCTGCTAAGTTCTATTTTTCCACTTCTTTTAAACTTATTTCTGACCTTTTCACTTCTTTATCATAACCCAGTAATTTGATAAGAAAACACGATTGCAATTGCTAAAGATGTTACTGAAGTAAATTTTAATCTTACAGCTTCACTACCGATTTCAACATTCCATCAGCATAAAGGCACTTTATTTCTTGCTTTCATAATGTACAGCTATTAGGAAATACCCCAATTGTATATCCTTACAACATTTTGGATGGTTGTGTAGCCCCTCTTGCTGCCAAGTTAAGAGTTGATGGAACCCTGCTCCAGTGTGAAAGACAGGTATTGACTTTTTTTCCCTTCTTTTGGAACTTACTAATTGTTGGTTTAGTAATTTGCTTTACAACGGGGTATATTACAATCATGGAAATACATATATTTCACAAATTTACAATATGCAAATGTGGAAATACAGGTATTGAACCCCAAGGGGTTGGCTGAAGTGGGTAAGAACTTGGCCCTGGTGCCTCAGGAAGCATCAAGTAAGGTTCGAATCCTCTTGGGTGCAAACAATTCCTTGAGGGGGGTGTGTGAGTATCAACTAGGAAAAAAAAGAAGAAGAAATACAGGTAATATGAAATTTTGCAATATGCAAATGAACATTTTTCTTGCATGTAGGATCGGATATAGTATAATAAAAAATGCAAAAGAGAAGGACCAAGGTTAGTTGATTTCTTTTATCGTGTGTGTTCTGGTAAGATTCTTAAAAACATTTTATACACCTTTCATAAGAATTATAGTAGTAGTAGGTTTCAGAGTTTTCATTTTTGTTTTTGTTTTTTTTTTTTTTTTCATAAGCAGGTAATTGTATTAAAATCAAAGAGTAATGATAGGGGAACCAAAAAGGAATCCCCCAATTAGCACTGAACTTGACCTGTTTGGCCACTTCAGCTTCTATTGTTTACATTCTGACCTCTCTTTCTCATTTTTGTCCTTATATTTATTACATACCCTTCATTTTCTCTTTCTAAAATTTATCAATCTCTTCTCAAAATTATCTCTTCTCTGTCTTCAATTGTCACCATATCTCAGTTCATAATTTCGTATTATACATGTAATTTTTTCATCTCCTTATTCTTTTTCTGTTGTTTTGTTTTTTCGAAGAAGACCAAGTTAATAAACCACCATGACAGATTGATAGACCCATTTTGATGAATTTTAGAGATTTGGGTTTATGTGTGGAAGAGAGATGATGATGGTTATGGGTCAAGATGGTGGCCATGGTAGAGTAGGACCAAATTTGAAGGTATTTGAGATGTTAAACAACTGGATGGTGGCGGTGATGGGAAGAACAAAGAGATGGAGAAGAGAGAAATTCATATCATATCTGAGAAAGAATTTCACAGAGGGAAAGAGATGAGTTAATTTTTAGGGGAGAGGGAAAAAAAGTGATTGCAGAGAGCTATGAAAGAAATTCAGAACCCAAATCCGATAAAGAGCAAATGAATAGAATTTCAGAGAGTTAAGAAGTGAAGATAATTTCATAGCGATAGAAACTTAGAGAGAGAAAGTGAAGGATAAACATCAAGGATAAACTTGTCATTTGCTAAATAATTATTTTTTAGAAAATGTTTAACTAGATGACGTGGCCAAAAACACGTCAGATTCTGTGTCCATTCGGGGCTAATTCTTCGGTCCCCCTATCATTATTCAAAATCGAAAGATATGGCAATCAGTACAATTGAGAGGCGAGGGTATTCCCTCACATTACAAAGAAGAAAAAGAAAACAGAGAAGTATCACTTCCAATACATCTCAAAGAAAAATAAACTCCAAAAATAATTACATGGCAACACAAACATCTTGCACACAAAGACTTGCAGCATCCACAAGTTGAAAACATAAAAATAAATAAATAAATAAATTAATTAAATAATGCAACTATAAAATAAATAAATAATTTTTACTTCCCACATGTTTGGAAGATGTTTACTGTGACTCCTATGGATTTGTTTGAGTGGTTGATGATCAAATCTAGGTTTCTGTGTTTCAAAGAACCAAGCTTGGTTCACCAGGGCAGTTTTCATATGAATTCATCCGAATTATTTATCATTTTGAAATGAATATTATCTAACCCTTTTTGAATATGCTATAATAATGGTGGCTGAAGACAGTCCTTTTATATTAAGGCTACCAGTGGTAATACCAGCATTGTTTTGGCATGCATTGCAGCTGCTAAGGATTATAAACTTATCCAGGTTATTCTATCTTCCTATAGTATTGAGAAGGATTGTTCTTTGAGCTGTTGGAGCAAAGTTGTACATCACAGATATAGCCAAGGGGATTGATGGGGTTTTTCAAAAGGCGGAAGATCTACTAAAAAAGACGCCCAATAGTTGTTTTCTTAAGCAATCAAAAAATCCTGCCAATCCAAAGTTATTCTTCGCATTTGTATCTTATAATGTGAAAAGATGGTAGGAACTTTTTAATGGGCTTGTCCTTGTGTAGATTCACAATGAAGGACCATAGATTTGGAAAGACTATGAAGGGAAAGTTGGTATAGGAACCAGGTGGACAGTAATGGGTGCAGGGAAGTTCCTCAAGGACAAAACTTCAACGATAAAGGTTGATTCATGTGTTTTTTTTTTTTTTGTTTTCCTAGTTGTACTCACACACACACATATCTCTTATAAGACTTGAACCCCCGACCTCCCTTTGGGAAGTAAGAGGCCAATTCCGCTAGGCCACTGGCCCATTGGTAAGGTTGATTCATGTTTGTGTGTGTGTGTGTGAGAGAGAGAGAGAGAATGTTTTCTTGTTTCTTATGTTGTTGGGCTTTCTTTTGTTTACATCTAGGTGTATGGTGTGGAACCCGCTGAAAGTGCTGTTCTAAATGGAGGAAAGCCTGGTTAGTAACAATTCTTTCTTGCCTGAATTCACTTCTCTTTTTGGCTCCTGTTGTGTAATTGAGTAGTTGCAATACTAAAACGTTGGTATCTTGGAACTTGGTTTCCTTATACCAAAGTGTCATCCTTTATAAAGCATGTCATGGGATGCACTACATTAACGTATTGTACAATATATATAAAAAAAATAGAGAATAAAAATAAGATAAGAAACTAACCACTTCATATGTCTTTGAAAAAGATCCAATCTCTTTTTCTCGGTAAATGCATTGTAATAATGAATTATTGGTTGCGATTATAGAGTAGTAGCATTCATTTTGCTGACCCTTGATGGGAGTATCATTAGGTTTTTTTGCAAAGATCTTGTGTGTTTAAGTTTTTAGGTGTTTGTAGTTTCTTTTTCTGATAGTAAGACACGCGTTCCATTTGAAAGTTGAACCCTGCTCCCCTCCTTCGGTGGTGGCAGGACATGCCACTCAAGCTAACAGCTGGTGGCAATTTTCTATTATTAGTACATGTCCAAGTTTTATAACGAGATGAGTCACTCCACTTAATGTTTCCACCAACGAAAAGTTCATTCCTCTGTGCCTTTGCACCGGGTTGTCCTCGACAGAATTGTGTAGTAGAAAGAAGGAATATAACTTTATTTGACATGGTTAAATCTATGATGAGTTGTTCAATACTACCTCATTCTTTTTAGGGATTAGCCTTAGAAACTGTTGTGTACATTTTGAATTTAGTTCCTTCTAAATCTAAAAACACATTGAGGGTTCAAGTCTCTAGAAGGGCAAAACGGGTGTGCAAGTTATTTACCAAGAAAAAGAAATGTAGAGGATGTAAATTATGACAATCTAAAATTAAAACATTCAGTGAATTCACAATCCTTTGCCAAATTAAAATTTTTGGTGTGTTTAGGGTAATTCTCTAAACCAATTGAAGTTGTAGTTTAGGGACTTTTATTTTAAGTAAGTAGTGGCAATGGAATTAAATACATGTCAGCTGTTGCGTGCCTATAGATGTTAAATTCGTCATTTTTCTCATCAATAGTAGATGAGAGACATGATGCATTGTTGATCTATTATCTTCTCTAAAGCATGGACACTCCCCTAGGGGGTGCCGCGTCCAACACTCTGGTGAGTGTGATTTAAAAAAAAATTGGTTGGACACATGTTTGTCACGACACGCCTTGCACCGTGTAGATATTGGCTGCTTTGCACGCTCTCCTCAGTGTGGGGCAGTCACCAACCGAAAATGGGGGGACGTAAATAAGCCCATGCGGGTGAGGCCAACGAGGATGCTGGGATCTAAGAAGGGGTGATTATGACGTCCCACATCGCCTGGTGGGCAGAAGTTGCTGAGACTTATATGTGTGGACATCCCTTAACCATGTAGACGCGTTTTGAGAAAAGCCATGAGCACCGAGAGGAAAATGTGCAAGGCGGACAATATCTATATGGTGCGGGGCAGGTCGTGACAACTGGTATCAGAGACAATCTCCAGTCGGAAATGGGGGACGTGCACAAGCCGATGTAGGTAAATCCAGCGAGGACACTGTTTTTAAAATTAGCGATTGCATTCATGGTTTGTAAATAAAATGAGTAAAAATAATTTTTCTTGTATATATGATAATATATTATATTATTATTTCATTACTGTATCCGTGCCATGTATGTGTCCTATTTTCTTGAGACTTGCCATGTTGCTGTGTTCGATATCGTGTCCTACCTGTGCCCCGTGTCGATATCTGTGCTCCATAGATTATCTTTTCCTTCATGCTCTAGACCAGGAAAGTAAAGTTTGGGTGGAAATTCAATTCCCAACAAGAACAAAGTAGGTGTGTGAGTTACAGTAATAATAATATTATTCATTTTGTTTTTTTTTGCTATTGGTGTATTCTGAAAGCCCGAAACCATGTTGTTTTTAATGACGAAAGTTGGTCTATTCACATGGTTTTGAGCAAAGCTTTGGAGCAATTCTAAAAAGTTCTTGGAAGCTCCTAATTTTGTGACAAATCAATTGCGTCATAGCCATCTTGAGCATGTGCCTTGTGAATCTCTTTCCTCATGGACCCCTCCAAGGGTGGTATTCTTAAGTGAAACGTTGATGCTTCCTTTTCCAGAATACTTTTATTGGAGGTGGGGGTACTGTTTTTCGGGATGGGTAAGGTAACATTGTCCATTCTGTTGTTTTCCTGCCGTTTGCAGCTTGAAGTGCATCTTTGGCTGAGGCCATTTGCCTTCGTAAGGCTGTGTTTTGGCATTGAGTTGCAATTATCCTCGTGTTTGGTTTGAGTGCGACTCTTGGTTGGTTTGTAATGCAGTGGTGGGGTCTGTCCAAGGGCTTACA